TTTGTGAGGGAGGGGGTTTTGGTGCCATTTGCGGCGACTTGTCGAGCGTTGGTCCACCACGAGAAGGCGGCACCATTGGACCCCAGGTATTTTGTACGGGCTAATGACAACAACAAGCTATATATATTTTAGGTTATTTCTCCTAATTAGGTCTTTTTCATAAAGTAATTAAGAAACTAGCAAGCTAGTACAAACAAGGATAGCCATTTTCTAAGCAAGAATCACAGAATGTTTAGACCATATTATAAAAAAATTGAAAAATTAAAGTCATTTTTTTTGACGCGATGTGAAGAGAAAAACTATACAAGCGTATAAACAGTTAGTGAGTTATGCATAATCGATATTAGTTGTTCAAAAAACGAGTAACCAACAAACCAATAAAATTAAAAATCAAAAAAAATCCTCTAATTTCAAATTTTTGTGGACTTCTTTTGCCTATATCGCTCTAAATTAACCTAATTTTTTTGCCTATGAAGCGGTAAATAATTTTTGTTATTGTAAAATCAAGTTTTCTTTGCCTAAAATTTTCAGATAGCGAACGTTACTCGATCGCTTTACTCGCTCGAAATTAGACTAAAACTCAAAACGTTCAAATCGGGTCTTCTCGACACTGGAGAAACTTTTTGGATTTTTTAAAAGTCGTTCGAATCACGGCTGAAATAGTATATTTCATTGGGCTTTGATATAGTATATAACTCGAACCATTGCGATGATGATTTGTGGTACCTGATTTTGCGTGGAAAACAAAAATAACACGCGAATCCAAATTCCCTCCCCATTGTCTATGTTCGGAACCATAATTGCAGTTTTCGAGCTTAAAAACATCAAATAAGAAGAAGATATCTCTAGTTTCAACTAAGTTTTGGCTTAATTCAGTTTTTCTTGAAAAACATGCAAATACATTAAGTAAGGTATTTAAACTCGTAATTTGAGCAGAAATGAAAAATTTAATTGCTTTTTTTATTTCTGGCTATAAGGAAAGAAATTTAGAAACGTTTTTGCCATGAAAATAAAATGTTTACGGCAAATTAATTAGACAACGAGCCTGCAAGCAATTTGTTATAAAAACGAGTCGTTTTTTGTTAAATACAATTCGCATAAAATGTCGCATATATCAATTTTCAAATGATCTTTTTTAAAACCAAATTTGGAACATCTGGACTACTAGAAAGATTTAAAGGCCCAAAAGTCCTGAATGCTTGGGGTTGCCATGCAATATTTAAACATTTACTTTGAACAAAAGGCTCCAATTTTTTCATTGTTACCATTCAGTAAAACACTCCTGCAAAATTTTGAATTAAATATGAGATTTTTAATTTGTGATAGAAATGTGATGTTTCATTAAAATAAATTTTTGAAATTCCTACTGGCAATAAATTTTGCCATTGGCTTAACTACTTGTTTGTTTTTTGTCATGGCAGCAAATTTGTATCTTTTTGCTTGCAAAACCATTACGCAAGTAATTAAACCCTAAACCTCCTGACTTTCAGAGAATTTGACAAGTTATCGTTACGTTCGAAAAAGACTGGCAATTCAAATGGTTCGCAGATTTGGGAACCGTTTTTCTGACGCTTTTGAAACTCCGAAACATGGTATTCATAAACATTCAATATGTCAATTTTTAAAAGGTTTTTAGCAGATTCAGTTTTAAAAAAGGAAAGTTAATTGGTTTATCAGAGTGAAACCTTTGAGCGACCAATATCAGAACGCCAGAGAAGAACATAACTTTTTTGCAACTTTTTTAATTCATTAGCTGGTGTCTTTGAACATGCGTTGTCTTAATTTCGGTACTACACGCATTGTCTTCATAGTATTAAGAATCACTGAACATAGTGAAGACTCTATATAGGTTTGATGATTTTTTGTTCGTTTTTTTTTCAGAAAAAATTATAAAATGCTCAAATATTTACAGATGTGCATTCAAGCATATTAATGCATTTATGAATGCACTCAGATATGTATGCAGATTTTGAGTTTCATCCAAAGGCATGTGCTAAAAGTTAGGTAAATTCCGCTCTCTATATACAAACGTGGAAATGGCGCAAAAAATTGTGAGCGAATTCTAGTTTTGAAAATGGAATTTATTTATTTTATTTTTTTGCTGAATCAAAACTTTACCTGCCTATCTTTTCCAGCTGTCTTTTGGTAATGTTCCTTTTGACAACTTCAGTGGCTGATAAATTAAATCCAGAAAAGCTCGCAGCTAATGCCAGACAGGTTAAAGTTTTTTAATTTAGAAACAAGCAAACAGAGGTTTTCATATATAAAACGGTCCAAACGATTTTACTTGCTTTGTCTCATGAGTAGATTTGCTACTGGTGGTCTCAAACCTTCTTTATGATATGCGGTCGATGTAATTGTTTGAACAACTAATTTTTTTCTTAGTGTTGATGTTCAAAACTCCACAGAAGGCATGTTTACAGACATTTGTTTATCTGAAAATTTATACAAATTTTCACAGAACGCCAGTTTGTTTGCTTTGAGTTAACTGTATAAATAACACTAATTCACAGCCTAACATACTTTTCAACATTTCAGCAAAAATACTCTCATTTAAAGGCATGCGATCTGATTTAGCACTCAGCAGTTGTTGTTTTTTCGTTTGGGTCATGACCCCTGAGTATCGCTGTGTTTGGTTTTCCGTGAAACTTGATTTTAGCCATTAATTACCTAGTTTTGAGTTTTTTGTGAGCCATGTCTCTGCTAGACATAAAATATCAGGCGGAGATTCCAAGCTGAGTATTACTGCTTCCTCTTTTTCACTCAGTGATCTGCTTCTACTCAGTGATCTTATATTCCGATGAATAAAAAGCAAGTAAAACTTTTGGCTTAACATGTTTTCAGCGCATATTTACACTAGTGTCAGCTTAGTGTATTATTAAGAACTTTTGGGCCATCTTTACAGCTTTTTGGTAGCATGTGCATTGACATTCGATAGTAATAAGCTAACACAGTTGATGCCTTTTTAATCCATCAAATAAACCGTAAAAAGCTATATGTTTCCAGCAACATAAATCAATAAAAGTTTCAACTCAATATCTTGCAATTTTTTGAAATACATAATTTATCCATAATTTGGCTTTGTCCTTTCCGATTTGTTAAATGAAAATTTAGTGTAGATGCCTTCACTTTGTTATATTCCAAATTTTTACTTGCAAAGATGTGTGCATTTGTTTTTGGTTCCACTTTTGCTGAATTGAGTTGGCTATTTATTAGCACATGTGGGTGCTTTGTTCGTGACCAGAGTTCTTCAGTGGTTAAGCGTGCGTGGCTGAGTGGTTAGTGCGTGAGACTCAAAAGCTCTTGGTTGCAGTAGGTTGAATCCTAGACGTAGCCGAATTTTTGCTACTTCGAGGCTTATTTCTTCTTTTTCTTAATGCACTTTCAGGAGCGGCTTTTTGTAGTGTTCTTGCCAGTGTTCTCAAAGCGAAGCTTCGCCTCTATGTTGATTTTTGTTCTCGGCTCAACAGCCTGACCATTTTCGGTCTGATCTGTATCCGCTCAATGATTTGTGGTTTTCAATGCCTATTCAACACTACCAGTTGTGTTCCTCAGTATTTTCTTCCTTAAATTTACTAGCATTCCAGATAAACGTTTAAAAAATTAGTTTTGAAAATGATTTTTTTTAAATTTTTTCTTCTCAGCTTGTCCTATTTTTTTGGGCTAGCTGCCGTGCTATTTTAGTTGTTTTGCAAGTGGTGGGAAGCTCCGCTTCGCATCTTTGTAATCAAGATCTGTTTATCTATCATACAGATTAATGACTTTGTAGATACGTGAAGAAAATTGGTACAAACTTTCAGAATGCGATGATATCTTTTCATAGCGTGTTGAACAGGGCTCTAACTGGGCTTGTTTCAAATTTTTTGTTTTTGCTTGCTTACACGTTTTTTTATTTTTTTTTCGCTTAAGATCTAGAATTTGGGCTAGAAATTTCGGTAATAATTTGTCAGTTCTATCTATTTCTGGCAGGTAGTGGTGTGAAATTGAGATAAGTACAAGTAGTTATCAATACTACCGATAGTTTTAGCACCTTCTGTTATGATGCTTCTGGCTTCTCAATAATTGATATTCTTTTTTCATTGCCTTCTATACGTTTTTTTGCGTCGCACTCTGCCATTGATTTTTTTCAGAAAATTCAAGATCCCTGGTCAATTCAGCATTAATTGCATCTTCTTTGGCAGATCTAATAGCTTCTGAAATTGCTGATTTTAACTTGGAACTCATTTGGGTCACTTGGGTCACTATCGAAGGATTCACCTTGCTAATGGATTTTTCAACCGCGGATTGGACTAATTTTTTAAAAAATTTTGTCGCTATCGTCTTCACCAAGTGGGCTCAGAACTGTGCATCTATTTGGATGTGCTCTACCCTGCTTATCTTTTGGGGTCGCAAATCATGGTGCCACTTTTGGGGGCTTTTTTAGAGCTTTTTGATGGCTTTGACATTCGAATAGTAATAAGTTGACACAGTTGATGCATTTTGAATTCATCGAATGAATAGAAAAAAAGCTATTTGTTTCGGAAGTTTTTTTTTGCAAAACTGAGTTCGGTCAAACAAATTTGCTACTAGCACAGCTACGGACTTGTCTTTTTCCAAATGAATTTTAACAAAAGTATACAGATTGTGTAAATCGTTAATTTTTTCAAAATACATTTCGTGTTATATTTCAAACCCTCGATAAGTTGTGGACAATCATAAGTTTTTAAAATCAAATTCTCAAAATTGCTTATTTTTAGATTACCGAAAATATGAATCCGAAGAGAAACGTGAAAGTATCGTAATTTTAACGCAATGCTCTTTGTAGGATGAAAATCAAACTGGGCCCACAGTTTTTTTTCAGAAATAGAAAGTTGAACACTTATACTGTAACTCTTTGCCGGTATCGCGAAAATTTTCTTGAATAGTAATCATTGACTTAGAATTGATACGTTTTTTTTGTGCACCTGATTTTCGAAAATTTTTTGAGATTGTCTGCTGACTATGTGTTTAATTTGCTTCAGAGGAAGACGACATTTCACCGTTCGAACGCCGTCGCATGATCAAACTGAAGGTAAGAAGTGTTCACGAGCAAGCTAGGAAGCGACTGAACGTGAGCTGGGATAAATTCGCCAAAGCAGTTGTGATCGGACTAAAATTGGGGTGGAAGAGAGACGTGCTTTATTTAGTAGTGACAGCTGCCAGTTTCAATGCTTACCAGCACAGGTTCAGAGACATCCAGCTGTTCGCATGTAGATTGGGCATCGAGATGAAAATGGGAAGGAGTGTCTATTACTGTGCAAAGACTCTGTTGCAAGTGACCCAGTGCGTATCCACACAGGTAATGACCCACTTTTCATATGACCCATTTGAAGAGAGAGTTCATAAGTTTAGTAAAGTTTTTACCAAAATCTTTAAGAGTAATGAACGTAATGAAGACTCTTATATAGGTCTTGCTGATTTTTTTTCAAGAAAAAGTTTTAAAATATTGATGCTTTTAGGTATAATGCGCTTTTTGAGCTCAATTGAAATTCATCTGCTGAAATTGACGTAAATAGCACTCTCCAAATACGAACGTGGAATTGGCGCGAAAAAACGTGAACGATTTCTAGTTTCGCGAGTGGAAATTGTTTTAAGATTTCCCAGCGGAATATAACTTTACCTATTGATCCAGCTTTCTCAAAAAAGCGCCAATCATAAATTGTTTTAGAAATTCAAGGAGCTTAAAGGGTATCTGTTTTTTTCTTTGAAACTCGAAAGTTCAGTTTTTTTTTTCAAGAAAGTGAGTGTTTTTTTTGTTTACTTGCGTTCATTACTCTTCCAATCTTCGATTGGCTGTGTTTTTGAATTTTTGCTTAATGAGTGCACGAATTAGGGCATCTGAAATGAGTGCACGAATTAGATAAGTGCATAACCTTTTCCAATATTATCCAGTGTATTTTTTTATCGCATGTGGGATATAACTGCAAAACTAAACCGAGTTTCTTGTTTTTGTTCAGACGTGGGGACTTTTCAACATAGTGGGAGGTCTTTTGGGCGACAGCAGACCCCACAAGTTCCTAGTGCACATGTACAAAACGAGTAACAAGATCAACAATTTCTACAAATCCCTCTTCCTAGCATTGAGTTCCCTCGAAAGTGGAAGCTACAAAATCGCACTGGCTGAACTGAGTCTGCATTTTACAGAACAAGAACAAAACCCCTTGTATAATTTCCTCCTCGGCATTCTCTATCTTCATAGCGGGTCTCAGAGGTTTTCAAAGCAGAAAGGGACTTTGTTCACGCTGAGTATATTTTTCCTGAAGAGATATCACGCCCTACGCAACAACCCACAGGAGTCTTTTTACAACATCGGAAGGGCATTTCATCAGATTGAACTTTATCCGCAAGCCATTGATTACTACAAAAAGAGTCTGTCATGTAAACCATTGGAAGCTGAAAATTCCTCCAAAGCTTATTCGACGGAAATGTACACAGCTCATAATTTATCGCGCATTTATTTAAATTCGGGAGCCAAAGTGCCAGCCATGAAACTACTGAAACAATACGCGCTGTGATTTATGAGCTTCAGAATGTTGATCTACGCGAGCTGATGTCGGTCGATGATGCAAAGTCAAGCAACAGTTGGTGACATGAGTTGAGTAACCGAGAAAAAAAAAACGTGAACATTGTTTCGAGATTCCGATCCGCTTTTGTTTTTTCTTTTCGAACAGATCTTGACTATGATTTTGTTTTTCATAAAATGTCCAATTACGTTTTGTTCAAATCGAGTTTGTGAGAAACATGCGTTTTACTTGATTGAATCTGTTTAGCTTAATTTAGAGATATTGGGAGTTATCGGTGGTATCTAAACGAGCCAAAGTATAAACCAGCTACCAGCGGAAAAAAGTAACTGTTGCAATAATTGTGTAACAGTTACGACAGTCTTTCAACTTTCGTTCAAATGACGTGGCTGGTTTATTCACACTTGACTATCTGATACTAATTAAATTAACAAGCTGGAAATAATCAGAAATCTTAAGTGTTTATGGTTATTAACCCCTTTAAGTCAAAATCATATACACAAGTGTGATTTGTGATTAAGCCTTTTTCTTGTGAAAGCGAACTATATACTAACCTGTCACACATTTCAACCTACAACCTGTCTTTTTCGCCATTTATATTTTTATCTGTATGTTTTTTCATGTTCCTTTTTTAGTTTCGTTAATGCAAGCATAGTGTTATAAGATCGGTTCATTTTTCAACACGAGTTGCTTATTTAAATTCAAACTTTTGCGCAAAGCTTATGTGGTAAGCACGTCGCATATCTAGCACCAGTCACGGGACATAGAAGTTGCAACTTTCAGTTTGCAAGCGATTAATTGAACTTAGGTTTCATCATGTTTGTACCCTTTTCCTCTATAACTATTAGAGATTCACGGTTGAAACTTTGACATGCGATGGATAAAATCTTTTCTTACAGATGGCTGGATAAAAATTGTGAAAAGTTGCTTTCAATGTGGGTTGTTTGGCCATCTATTTAAAGGGAGTCACAGAGGTGTTCTCACTGCCAAAAAGTCACGGTAAACAGCAGAATCAATTTGAAACTCTGTAGTAACTATTGAAGTATTCGTTTGAATGCTAAGAATCTAAGCTAGGCTCTTTTTTCTCATCGCTTAAAAAAGAATTAAACTTCGTCTTCTTAAGCTCTTAGACAGAAGTTGCCTAAAAATGAAGCAATTTGTTTGGTTAAATTCCAAAATTTGAGACACATTTTTTTTCGCAGTCAATTAGTTTTTTTTGTTCTTTTTTCAGTAGGGGAAAACCTAAATGAAGCATCTAGCTTAAAATTTAAGCTTTCCAACGAATTTTTGTAAGTCCGAATTGCTTCTGCTGTTTCGAATTGCTTTGCTTGTCACCGGAACTTTTTGGCACAGAGAACACCGCTCTGACGACCTTTAAATAAATGGCTGAACGATGCGTCATGAAAACATTTTTTTACGGTTTTTTAATCAGGCGATATTCCAGAAAGCAGTTTCATTATTCGTATGTCAAAGTTTCAACCGTGAATCTCTGATGGTTTTAGAGAAAACTTCACAAACATGGTAAAAATTACGTTCAATTCATTGCTTGAAAAAACTTAAGTCGCAACTTCTATGTCCCATGACTATATCAGGTCTTTGTTAAACCACATTCTTTGCTGTCTGATTTTTAAGATTTAAAGATGCCTTAAAGTAAAACTGTAAGATTATTGAAAGTAGTGAAGACTCTTATATCGGTCTTGGTGATTTTTTTTAGGAAAAAGTTTTAAAAATTGTTCACGCTCAATTTGATTTTTCGACGTTTGAAGTTATTTTTTTCCATTTTAATTCATGTTTTTTTTGAAAAGAAGGCAAACTCCGCTATGGAACAGCCATAGCTTAAAGGCATGAAAAATATGATCGTTTTCCAGTTTCGAAAATGGATTTAAATGATCAGATTTGCTTGCGGATTTAAAAATTTACCAATAGCTCCAGTTTTTTTTCAAATAGGGTGAAATTTGTCAAAACAGCTGCAATCGTAAATTGCTCTTGAAAATCAAAGAGCTTAAAGATTTGTATTTTCTTTAAATTAAGTTTTTTTTTAAAACTAGTCAGTTTTTTTCTTTCTGTCCGTTCATTGCTCTTTTTCAAAGCAGTTGGTTAGGTTCACAACTTTTTGCAATCTGTTTCGATGTTTTTTTTTCAGTATTATCTTGCGTTTCTGATTTTTTTGCTGTTTTAAAGCTTGTTTTTGCCGTCTTATTAGAGCTTCTTTTTGCCGTTTGATAGAACTTATTTCTGCCGTTTTTTTATAGCTCTTTTTGCCGTTTTTAATTTATGTTTCGCATATGTATAAATCAGCGTGAACCATCTCGTTTTGCATTTCAGACTCAACAATGTCGGCTCCGCCAGCGTACAACCCGGAGTGGGAGCAAAGCTATGACTCAAAGTATCCTCCAACTAATAACAGTGGAACTGCCCCTATAGCTCCTGATCCTCTGGGATCGCAAATGCAGTCGCCGAGTGTTTTAAGCTATAATGGCATATATGGGGGCTTCAGCGACGCCCAGCAAGTAAATTCATATCTCAAGCGTCTAGTATCAAAAAATAATCAAAATACTTTTGACCTATCGCTTACTCAGTAAATGTTTGAGACTCACACAGTCAAAACATTTAGTTTTTTTTTCAATGGATATTGTTAGATGAAAGGGTTGGTGGATGGTTGAAGGTCAATGAACGAAGTGAATATGCTCAATTAGTGGTTTTTTCTTCTTTGGTTTTTCTTTTCGTTTTTTTTTTCACGCTCAAATTTGTTTGTTTTTTTTTTCGTTGTTTGACTTCTGATTTCTCAATATTCAATTCAAATTTTTTTGCTAAATGGAACGCAAATTACGCTCTCCATTAACTCTTCGCTCTAAAAATGGTTTAAAAACTTTGAACGATTGGAAATTCTGAAGATTTCCCAGATGAATGGAAACTTTTCGTTTTCTCTAATTGGGTTAGTTTTAGGGAGAAGTTGTCAATCATGGAAGATTCCAAGTTACGTTTTTTTTAAAACTCAAAAGTTGAAAGTTTATCAAAGAAGAAGTTGATTTTTTCGGTCTCCCTGGGTTCATTGGCACTTTTCCAACTGCCTGCCGGCTGTTTTTTTATCTTCTTTGAACTTGATTGCCAAATTTTTGAACTTGATTGGTTATTGGTTTTTTGCATTAGTTCTGAAGCTTTCAGTGTTGTTTTGTGTTAAACAGCCCATATCTGGTGGTTATGAACCTTACAAGGGCGACGTCGAGGCCCAGGAGCCCAATGATCAGCCGCCATCGGTCTCATTTGCCGCTGCCGGATTCAGTGACGTACTAACTCGAGCTGTATTCGTACAAAAAGTCTATTACACCCTCTCTGTACAATTCGGAATTGCATTATTTATTAAAGCAGTCTTTGACCATTTCGACTCTGTCAAGATATTTATCCTTGAGAATCCGTACTTGAATTACGTCAGCTATGCGGTCTTTCTGATGTCTTACTTAGTACTAGCGTGTTGTCAAGGACTCCGAACAAAGTCCCCTGCCAATGCAGCACTCCTCCTTATGTTCACTTTGGCCCTGTCAGTCATGACCGGAGTCACATCCGTTTACTATTCCACGAATATAATCTCAATGGCGCTAGGAATCATTTTTGCAGTCACTATGGCAGTGAGTATCTTTGCGTCCCAGACGAAGTATGACTTCACGAAGTGGCTCGGAGTCGCGGTTGTCGGCTCTTTCTGCCTCCTCTTCTTCGCAATCTTCCTCATCTTCGTTCATGACCAACTCATGCACCTAGTCTATGCGGGGATCGGAGCCGTTTTTTTCACGGTGTTCCTGGCCATCGATACACAGATGATCGTCGGCGGGAAGAGGCAGAACATAAACCCCGAGGAACACATTCTCGGAGCCATTATGCTGTTGACTGACATCATCTACATCTTCCAGGTCATTATGTATATCCTGAGACGATCTTAAGATTGTGGTGTGATGCTGAAATGGCGTAACGAGAGAAATAAAGGAGAGATGTTGCGCAATTTAGATAAAAGTGACATCAGTGTTTTTCTAACAAATTAGTTCGCATGCGCTTTTCACGCTACCTTAGAATCTTTGTTCATTCAGGATAGAAAAGGGTGCAAACTTCTGAGCGGGCATCAGCAAACCACCAAGTAGCTCGAGATCGAAATAACTTATTTTGAAAAGGTCCAGCCTGAAATTACTAGAAAAGGTCCAGCCACCTCTAGAAACGAGTTATCTTCCCTACAGAACTTGTTTTACTCCTGGGAAGGACGAAGTTGACGAAAAAAACTCACAAAAACGCTTGTTGCCTGGTTTCAGTAGATGAATAGTATTATATCATTCGAGCTCACAGAAAAACCGATGACGTTGATTTTGCTGTAATAAATACGAAATTGATATTAATGGTTTAGTCGGAGCGATTGGAAAAAATAAGCAGTGTCGAATATTGATTTTTATCCTTGCTATGGCAAGGGTATTGCAATCGGGTACCAGACTTTTTTTCCCGCAAAACAATTTTGCCCACAACTTTTGTGCTTTGGCTGACAATGAATTCAAATTTTGTAGTGAATCTTGCACACTTAACCTAGTGGTAACGAATACGCCTGGGACGGCAAGGGTCCTGGGTTCGAATCTGACCAGGACCAGTTTTCTTTAAAACGGTTAATTTTTCGGCTAAAAAAATTTGGCCTATTGTTTGTCTGCTTATGTTTTGTGGGCAGAGTTGCCACATCTGGGAATCTTTTCTTTTAGCTCTAACCAATTTTTGCTGCAATTTTTTAAGCATTTTAAGAATCCGGCCGAATTGAAATTTGCTTTTTAATTCTGTAATTTACCAGCTCGATTTAATAGAATTGCACTTTATTTTTTCATTGTTTCAGATTTTTTATCGGCTTAATAAATTTCGGCATAATTAATATCGACTTCGTGGCCTCTTATTGCGTGTTAAGTCCGAATTTTTGTTGTACGCGTGTGTGCGCTCTGAGGAGAAAAAGGACTTTTTTGAATTTCTTCTCATCATGAAGGGTTTCTGCTCAGGTTTTTTCGTCTTTGTTACTGCTTGGTAACTGTAAATTCAAATCCAACATACATCCGGTGCATCTAATATTGAGGTAAAACAACTGCGTGAGACGGAAAAGATATGCGATTTGAATCCGGCTGAGCCTTTTTTTTTGCAAACTAGCGTTTCTGTGCCTTTTCGGACTATCGTCCGTCTGTTTGTTTTTGTCGGCTTAGTTCCCCTAGTTCGATGCTTCAGCTTTATTTCAAGGTGCTGTAACCCATGCTTGAGATGAAAAAGCTCGGGAGGTCGATTTAAGTTCAGATTTGTTTTTTTTTGCAAATAAAATTTTTTGGCCAATCTAGATTATTGTCTGTCTGCTTATTTCTGCAGAAAGGACTTTATTTGAAAATTAGAGATTTTGTTATTTTTCGGATTATCGTCCGTCTTTTTTTCGGCTTGGTTCTTTTAGCTCGATGGTTCAGCTTCATTCCAAGTTGCTGTAATTCCCATGTTTGAGGCGACAAGGCCCGGGAGTTCGATTTCAATTGAGCTTTGTTTTTCTTGCAAATATAAATTTTTGGCGAACTTAGATAATTGACTGTCTCCTTATTACCGCAGAAATGACTTTTTTCAAATTAGGATTCTTTGTAGCATTCCCAAAGCTCGTTGAAAAATTTCTAATGGTGTAGGAAATTTTGTTCCTAATGGTGTAGGCATATTTTGGGCGTATCTTGCAATTTCTATTGAAAAAAGTTTTTTTTTTTTTCGTTTTCCAATTGATTTTTATAGTCACTCATATTTGTATCGCAAGTGGTGCGAAGCTCAGCTTCGCCTTTGTTTACCATTGTGATAGCAAGGGTATTGCAATAGGATATTAGACTTTCTTTTTCCCGTAAACAACTTTGTCCACAACTTTGGTACCTTGGTTCATAATGAATTCAATTTTTTTGTGCATCTTGCACACTTAGCATAGTTGTAGCGAATTCGCGCGGAACAGCAAAAGTACTGGGTTCGAATCTGTACAGGACCAGTTTTTTTTACGGTTATTGTTCCGGTTCAAAAAAATTTCGGCCTGTTATTTGTCTGCTTATGTTTTGTCGGCAAAGTTGCCACATCTGAAAATTGTTTGTTTTAGCAGCTGTAAACAATGTGTACTGCTATTGTTTTTAGCATTTTAAGAATCCGTCCAAATTAAAATATGCTTTTCATATCTCTATTATTTAATTGGCGTTTCACGTGACACATGTTTAAGAAGTCCCTATTTTGACGTGTTTAAGAAGTCCCTATTTTTGCATGTTTAAGTTTTTTCAACGTATTATTTTTTTGCATATTTAACGAAAATGTTTTTGCACGTTTAAGCTATACCGTAGGTTAAAATGCTTAAGAAATTTCATTTGGCTCATGTTTAAGTCTGTTGGTCTGTTAAAGGCCAAAAAATAGCAAGATTTGAAAATTTTATATATACATACGTTATATGCGTTCCTATATATTGGGGTGCTGTTAAGTACATTTAGGGGTTGCAAATCTGGAGTCCCGGTATGACTGCTCAAATCCTTTTGGTTTTCGAGAAATTGCGTTTTCTATGATTTTTCAAATTTTTTTTGATCAGAAAACGGATATAAAAAAAACCGAACTCCAATTTCTCAAAGCTATCGTGGGGTGCTGTCAGGGAATATTCAGGGGTTGCAAATCTGGAGTCCAACTAAGACTGCTCAAACCTGGAAAGAAAAACCCAACCGAACTTGAGTTTCTCAACCCTATGGTGGGGTGCTATCAACGTATATTCAGGGGTTGCAAATCTGGCGTCCAAGTGTGACTGCTCAAATCCTTTTGGTTTTCGAGATATGGCGTTTTTATGTTTTTTTTTCGAAAAACTTAGATATTAAAAAACTAATCGAACTTCAATTTCTCAACCCTATATTGGGGTACTGTTAGGGTACATTCAGAAGTTGCAAATCTGGAGTCCAACTATGTTTGCTGAAATCCTTTTCGTTTTCGAGATATGGCGTTTTTTATGATTTTTTCATGTTTTTTTTTCAAAAAAATTTAGATATAAAAAAGTTAGATACAAAAAACTGACCGAACTTGAATTTCTGAACCCTATAGAGGGGTGCTGTTAGGGTACATTCAAAAGTTGCAAATCTGCAGTTCAACTATGACTGCTCTAATCTTTTTGGTTTTCGAGATATGGCGTTTTTTATGATTTTTTTCATTTTTTTTCAAAAAAAATTAGATACAAAAACAAACCGAACTTGAATTTCTAAACTCTGTAGTGGGGTGCTGTCAGGTTATATTCAGGAGTTGCAAATCTGGCGTCCAAGTGTGACTGCTCAAAACCTTCTGGTTATCGAGAAATTGCGTTTTTTATGATTTTAAAAAAAAACCTGGATGTAAAAAAAATTAACGGAACTTCAATTTCTCAACCCAATAGTGGAGTGTTCTCAGGGTACATTCAGTCGTTGCAAATCTGGAGTCCAACTCTGACTGCTCAAATTCTTTTGGTTTTCGAGATATGGCGTTTTTTATGATTTTTTTATGTTTTTTTTTTCAAAAAAATTTAGATATAAAAAAAAATTAAATTCAAAAAACTAAACGGGCTTGAGTTTCTGAACCCTATAGTGGGGTGCTGTCAAGGTATATTCAGGGGCGTCCAAGTATGACTTCTCAAAACCTTCTGGTTTTCGAGAAATTGCGTTTTTTATGATTTAAAAAAAAACCTAGATGTAAAAAAAAATTATTCGAACTTCAATTTCTCAACCCAATAGTGGGGTGTTGTCAGGGTACATTCAGGCGTTGCAAATCTGGAGTCCATTTATGACGGCTCAAATTCTTTTGGTTTTCGAGATATGGCGTTTTTTATGATTTTTTCATGTTTTATTTTTTCAAAAAAAATTTAGATATAAAAAAAATTAGATACAAAAAACTAACCGAACTCGAATTTCTGAACCCTAAAGTGGGGTGTTGTCAGGGTACATTCAGGGGTTGCAAATCTGGAGTCCAACTAAGACTGCTCAAACCTGGAAAGAAAAACCCAACCGAACTTGAATTTCCCAACCCTATAGTGGGGTGCTATCAGAGTATATTCAGGGTTTGCAAATCTGGCGTCCAAGTGTGACTGCTCAAATCCTTTAATTTTTCGAGATATGGCGTTTTTATGTTTTTTTTTCAAAAAACTTAGATATTAAAAAACTAATCGAACTTCAATTTCTCAACCCTATATTGGGGTACTGTTAGGGTACATTCAGAAGTTGCAAATCTGGAGTCTAACTATGACTGCTCAAATCCTCTTGGTTTTCGAGATATGGCGTTTTTTATGATTTTTTCGTGTTTTTTTTTCAAAAAAATTTAGATTTAAAAAAATTAGATACAAAAAACAAACCGAACTTGTATTTCTGAACCCTAAAGTGGGGTGTTGTCAGGGTACATTCAGGAGTTGCAAATCTGGCGTCCAAGTGTGACTGCTCAAAACTTTGGTTTTCGAGAAATTGCGTTTTTTATGATTTTTTCATTAAAAAAAAAACCTAGATGTAAAAAAAATTAACCGAACTTCAATTTCTTAACCCAATAGTGGGGCGTTGTCAGGGTACATTCAGTCGTTGCAAATCTGGAGTCCAACTATGTTTGCTCAAATCCTTTTGGTTTTCGAGATATGGCGTTTTTTATGATTTTTTCATGTTTTTTTTTTTTCAAAAAAATTTAGATATAAAAAAAAATTAGATACAAAAAAACTAACCGAACTTGAATTTCTGAACCTTAGAGAGGGGTGCTGTTAGGATACATTCAAGAGTTGCAAATCTGGAGTCCAACTATGACTGCTCTAATGTTTTTGGTTTTCGAGATATGGCGTTTTTTATGATTTTTTTCATTTTTTTTCAAAAAAATTTAGATATAAAAAAATTAGATACAAAAAACAAACCGAACTTGAATTTCTGAACTCTGTAGTGGGGTGCTGTCAGGTTATATTCAGGAGTTGCAAATCTGGCGTCCAAGTGTGACTGCTCAAAACCTTCTGGTTATCGAGAAATTGCGTTTTTTATGATTTAAAAAAAAAAACCTGGATGTAAAAAAAATTAACGGAACTTCAATTTCTCAACCCAATAGTGGGGTGTTTTCAGGGTACATTCAGTCGTTGCAAATCTGGAGTCAAACTCTGACTGCTCAAATTCTTTTGGTTTTCGAGATATGGCGTTTTTTATGATTTTTTTATGTTTTTTTTTTTTCAAAAAAATTTAGATATAAAAAAAATTAAATTCAAAAAACTAAACGGGCTTGAGTTTCTGAACCCTATAGTGGGGTGCTGTCAAGGTATATTCAGGGGCGTCCAAGTATGACTTCTCAAAACCTTCTGGTTTTCGAGAAATTGCGTTTTTTATGATTAAAAAAAAAAACCTAGATGTAAAAAAAATAATTCGAACTTCAATTTCTCAACCCAATAATGGGGTGTTGTCA